ATAACAAGTCAGTGGGACATATCCTATAGTGTCAGAAACAATGCTGACAATTAGGCAATAATATTAAAATGATGGCCATGGTAGTGATGACAGAAATCTCCAATGGGTGTTAAGAAGGATCTAGAAGTGCCCCAGTCAGTGAGCAGTGCCTTGAGGGCTGGAGACTAAGCTGTAAGGAAGCAGTGGAGTGTTCTGTCTGGAAGTATATGAGGGTAGGAGGTAAGTGCTGAAGCTGCTGGTTGGAGAGAAGGGTGAAAATTGTTGCTGTGGGTCTTGGTTGATGGGGCAAGGATGAGGACTCTGTGTCTGTGATTGTATCAAGAGGTGAGTAGTTACTAGTAAGAGGGAGAATAGGCATGGGTACATCTCATGGAAGCTTAAGGAAGCTTGTGGAACTAGGATACTGAAAAAAAGTTCCTATGACCTGTGGTGTGGGACCCTGCAAAACACAATGTCCAGTTGCATCCTGATAGAAGTTGAGTAAAGTCTGGAGTCTGGGTTGAGTCTCTGAGTTCTGCCATCTTCTTTAGACTGGGGGTGTGGGAAGAGCCCCCCTCCAAAGGAGAACACCAAGCCTTGCTGAGTGTGGGGACCCGAATAAGTTCATGTCTTCTTAAATACAGTAGGTTGCTTCCATAAACCAAAAGTCAACTGTGATTTTTTTTCTCAAATAAATGCATGTTCTTTATTCTAGAATATGTTTTCAGTCAAGGAAAGTTAAACTTTAGTCTATCAGGGCTGATAGATAAAACAAGTATGTGTAAATGCTCACTGTTTTTTTTTGAATAGTCACATTTTATTTTCTAAAAGAAACACTTGCTCAGATGTTGATAGAACTCTCCCGAGAATGTGTTTAGGCAGTGAAAGGTTCCCCAGCAGTGACTGAGCAGTACTGTACAGGGCAGCTGCACTTGATCTCTTCTGAGGCTGATTTTGATGTGTGTAGTCTTTACATCCTATTAAGTTTTTGAAAGATAAACTGATACAAGAATGATTTGCCAAGGCCAGCAGCTCTTCCTTTTAAAACCTTGGCTCAGTGTACACATTGAAGGGATGGGGGAGTAAGATAAAAGCATTATAAATATGAGGTTAACTGAATTCAAATAGAAGGTTCTCTCAAGTTATTGCATTCCTTAGAAAATAAATACGTTGAGCATATGGTTAAGATTGATCAAAAATGTATTCTGTATGCCAGTGATTACATTCCCATCTGTGATTAAGGTTTTCTGTCTGCATCTGGTTTTCACATTATATTTCTGTAACAAGAATCCTTTATTTAGCAAATTTCACTTTCTGTATTTTCTATTAGCT